TCTGGTTTCCGGTTGTAGATCCGGAATTCTCTGTTCTCTTCCGTAGTTGGGGCCTTAACCAAGTAGAACCGGTGCTTCCAGTCCGAACATTTGGATCGCTTGTCCAAGGTCATAAGGTATTTGGGCTGGGTGGTCAAGGTATACCAGGCTCTCCAGCCGCCTGGGCTCCTACTCAAGTAATGCATGTGGGCAAACGCCTCCCAGCCGGGGTTGAGGCCCTGCATCTCGCAGGCGGCGATATACCCTAAAATATTTACCCATGAGTTGGGGGTTAATTGCTAGAGACCTAGGCCATACCCCCTAAGTATGGCTTTTATTGTGTCGTGGAGAGGGAAGCGGACTCCGGCCACGAAGGCCGCCTCGTAGCACCCGAACCAAGCGTTCGCGTTCGGTTGTCCATCCTCCCACCATATTGTTCCCAGAGCAGCCGGGATTTTTATTGAATAGTCACCCCCCAGCGGCCGCCGTTTGATAAAATCTGGCAGCGCAGCCCGCATGAGCTCGCGGTCCTTAGAGGGGATGGCGATCATGAGAGGATCGTTCCTATTGTCCCAAGAAGGCCTCTCCGCCTCCTCGCTATCCTCAGATTCGGTTAAGTAGCTGCTACTGCTACTTTGAACGTGACCGGCATCAGAGCCGGCTGGGGAGTTGGAGACCTCCTCATCAGAGCCTACCTGCTCTCTGGTCTCCTGGAGGGGAGCACTCTCTTCGTTTAAAATGCTATCACCCGGGGTGCTAGGAGCGCCCCCGGGTGAGCCTCTCTGCTCTACCTCTCCTTGCTCTACTTCACCGCCTGAAGCTGGGACCTCAGGCGGCTGCTCATCTGAGCTCCCACTTCTGTAGTTGGGATCTCTGGCAGTAGACCGGATTCTGGCCATTGTGTCCTGCACAGACACAGAGTCGGTCGATATGGGTGTTGAAAAAGGGTTGTCCCAAAGAACAGAGGCGGCAGACCCAGTTCTAGACTCAGCCGTACTAATAAACCGGCTGAGTTCACAGCTAGGTTTCGGGTATGGGTATAAGGGGTCCATCTACTTATGGGACCAATGAACAAAAATGCGAGTAAAAGACTCAAACGGAAATACATGAAAAAGCTAGAAAGAATAGAGACGGTACCTAGAAGAAAATCTGGAAATTCTTTGGGATGCTTGCGAAGACGCAGGCGGTTCAAAATCCGGCTGGGTTTCTCTGATTACCCTCTCGAAAACCTCTGGCTAGCTTGCAACGACCCAGACGGTCTGTAGACCGGTTGCTCCCAACGAATCTCAACTCCGAATGCTCTCAACTCTCAAATTGCCGGCTGCTCTCAAATTTTCAGAAATTTGGCAAAGTTTGTAAATGAGAGCTCGGGGGACATCTTCTCCTATTTATAGAATTTGTCCCAGAAGGTGAAAAGTCGTGACTCTTCGCCTTCTGCTTTTCCATCCTTCAAAAAAAAAAAAAAAAAAAAAAAAAAACCTTTCACCGGCGCCACGTGGCACCCTGCCACGTCAGCACCAGTGAGGGGCAAATGTTTGGGGTAAAAATACCCTAAACACGTGGCCCAATGGCCTAGTGACACGTGGCATCCAACCGTTGGTCAGCAGTGCTCCAATCCTCTGCTGACACGTGTCCTCTAAACCCTAAAAGGGAAACCATCCCTTCCCCACTATAAATAGTGGAAGGACCCTCATTAATGGGGGGCTGGAACATTTGTTGTTCACATTGAATACTCCTCAAAAAGAAAAACACTTACCCCGAGCAATATTAATTGCAGAATTCTCCCATTACGCGAGAAGTAACTTCCACATTACGTGCATTCTACCTCCCGTATCTTTACTAACTTGATCGTCGGAGGCGGAGCTCCTACCCCCAGGAGTCTTCGTGATTTTGCAGGCACAGGCATCGAAGGGCATTCTTGGAATTGTAACTCTCCCGCAGGACACATCAAAAAACCCCGAAACAGTGCCTATGCTAGACTTATTGGGGAAAGGGTTTGAAAAAAAGAAGAATAAAGCATGAAATCTTGGTGAGAAGCTTGCCTTGTGCATTTGTTTCATCATTACCCTCATTTTTTTTGTTTGTCAATCACATGACACATACTCGATTCAACATGCATGGATGGAATAAATTAGGAAGAATGAAGGTTTTGATTTGGAGAAAGCATGTAGAGAATGGAAAGATGATGTAGATGGAGAGATATGAAAAAATTAGGAATAGAATGTACCCCAAACTCAAATGACGGAAAAAACCGACTCATGCATGAACCTAAGACATGGTCATGGTGACATATACTCAAAGTGTGTGCTAAGACTAGTGAGTGTAGGTGACATGTTAAGACTGGTTTCATGACCATGTGGCTAAACTATGTGACTAGACTCAAGCAAAGACTAAGTTAAGGCTTCACGTATATGTATTAAACTGGACAGGCTGTGGTATTTTAGTCATAACTTTTGATATGTGACTTTGATTTTGATGAAACCAACTCCAAATTAAGGATAACACTCGGGGCTACAAATCCATAGGTTATACGACTCGTAACTCTTCCTAGAACTCCGGTTATGACCAAAACAAGTTGACGCTTGTGCAGTATATGGGAATAAAAATCCGGGTTGACTTAAAGGAACTATGACTCGATTTAAGGTATATTTATTAGTTCAAATTAATTAATCAATTAATTAAGTAAAGTCCTTTAGTCCTTGGTTAGTTTATTTAAACATATTCATAATTAAAAGTCAAACCAAACGGTTAGTTTAATCACATAATAATTATGCACAAGCAAATAATGCACAAGTAGTCAAATAGTCACAATATGATGCAATGAGTTTGCAACCTAACCATGGCTCTAGTTCTCTAAAGTTGGGGATATGGGTTCGTCAAAGATGGTCCATGGTTATGATTTCGGATGCACCGCGCAGAAGCCTTACCTTTGGAAGGGTTGGCGCGAGTGGATGGGACCCCGCGAGTTAAAAACTCGCTTCCATGTTTTGGTGAATTCAACATTCTCGGATGTACCCGTTGTTGCACAAAGCGTTCAATCAGGTAGATGGAGCATGAATTCCTAGAGGGTTATGTCCATATGTAGAACACATATGGGTTTCAGAAAAAGTGAGAAAAACTCAATCAGGAAGTAAGATCGAGCCAACAGTGCTAGAATTGGTCAAAATTAAAACTCATTCTGGCTCGGTATTAGAAGAACACAGCGCTAGCCAACATGAACTGTCGCCGCAATATAGCGTTGTCGCCTAGCGACAGAGCCATATCATCGGCGACAGGCTCTGCTTGCTAGACGCCAGTTCCTACATGCCTCAATAGCTTTCTGTGTTTGATGAAATTTTCCAGTTTTTTGCAGCATTATTCCAATCCTAGTTGTGAAAGATATTCCTCAAATTTCCTACGTGTAAAAAACCTATGTTTTTAACTCATTATGAATGGTCTTTCCAATGAGATCTTTTTTATGCATATGACAATAATGTTAATCAAAATTACGCACATGAAATACTTAGAACGTTTCGAGTCTCATCGACTCATTCTAAATAATTGCCAAAATAAATTTCAGGAATTGAAATAGAAATCCTCCCAGCAGAGTGGCCAAAAACTGTAGGGAATATTTCAAGCATTACCCCAAACTTGAACCCCACTGTGATCATACACTTAAGCATGGTGGCTTCCAAAGGGAAGGAAGTTAGAGAAAAAGAGTCGCCAACAAGTTTTAGGAACTTGTAAACCGTTCACAGGGTGAAGGTTACACCCCTTAACGATCCATGAGATTGTCAATTCCAATAGGGCTGGAACCATGACTGGTGTTCAAGGATGAAGGCACAAATCCAATCTAAAAGAGAAAGAACCTCCCCTAATGATAGGCCTCTACTTTATTCTTCTCGTATTCATGTGCGCTTTCTGACTAACATGCAATCAATAGGTTAACCCTAAACCTGTTTAATCTATGTTGGTTGAATATTAATGCATAAATAAATCTATTATTGGCGATCACTTGAATTATAATCAAATTAACCATAAACAAGATTATTAATTATCTTATTAAGCGTGATTACTAGTACAAATTCCCTTTAAACATGCATAAAAGGCGTGATCAAGAAATAACAATAAATATAATCGAGTAACATAATCATCATAAATAATAGTCAAAATTATAATCATCATAATAATTATAAAAATAATCATAATCATATCAACGCTAAAGCATAATAATAGCAAGATACTAGACATGATACTAACAAGATTAATAACAAACCCTAGCATGTCATTAAACAATAAAAGTCAAAGCTTTAGCCCTAACATGATACTAAAATGATATTAGGAAAGAAATAGGAAGCATCATAATAATCATACTTGATTTAAGGAACTTATTCTTTATCCTAAACATGATACTAGGAAGCAATAAAACATCCTAACATGATACTAGGAATCAAAACAACAATCTAACCATGATTTTTATATCATAATAACAATTAAACCATAAGATTACTTACTTGGATGCCTCGTACCTCTTTCTAATAACAAAATACACACATTAGTAACTTCAAGGAAATAATAACAAACAAACAATTAAATTAAATAATTGAAAGAAAGAATTAAGAAAGTTGGTTATGCTAATTTTTGTTAAGTGGGATTGACTATCAAAATCTAGGCTACGGATCAACTAAATAAAATCAAAGATGAAACAAAATTAAAAAAATTAAATGACACGAGGGATTGGTGACGCGGAAAACCCAATGAAGATAAAAACCGCGGGTAGAATGAGGATCTACCAAACTTTCACTATGCAAAATATCAAAGATAACAGTTTACAATGTAGGATTTTAGTACGAATATAGCTAGCTTGATGTGTCCTCTGTCTGTCGACGCTTCCCTCATTATATAGACTATTGCTAGGTTAAATTCTAGCCGTTGCAAGGAGATAAATCAAGTTCCATGATTTTCAGATGATAGTTATGCAGAGTATCTTTTCTGTTTTGATCCTCAACGGGGGAAATAGGTTGAGCTTAGACTTGGTCTTCCATGCTTATCCTTTCCTGGAAAATAGGGAGTCGTTATTCGACTTCGTCTTACGTCGCTGCTGAAGGAGATTCGTCATATTCTAGCCTCCGTCAAGATGAGTCTTCGTCATTGACTCTACTTAACCGTCGTTGACTTACACTTACAGATTATTACCCATAACAATTTGCCCCTAATTGCTAAATGTGTATTGCTACATACACGTTTGGATATTAAAAAAATAAATAAAACAAACAAAAACAACATAAATATAATTTTACTTAGGGGCGTTTCTGTCTTTCATCTAGAAGGCACGTTCTACAGGGGGAGTTACTCCACTTCTACCACTTTCTCACTCTAACCGTCATTTCACCCTTTGATTACTGCAACACACTTCCCATTTCACCAAGCTTCCACTCCTTTCTTCTCTTCTCTCTCTTCTTTTCTCTTTCTTGCGCAGAATCACTCCGGTGGTTGAACGGCAGCGTGCGGCGGTGTTTTCGAACTCCTGGCGTCTTCAATTAACAGGTAATTTTCTTGAATCCTTCTTTTGTTAGTTAATTTGGGCGAAATGTCGAACAGAATTCCCGAAACTAGAACTAGGTTTTCTCTTCGCATTGTTGAAAAAAGGGGATTGGTTATTCCACAGAAAAAATCAATGTCTCGGCCGAAATCATCGATGGAGCCTGAAATGAGGAATGATTTCGTCAAAATGGCGGGTTTTCCCGATATTACTTTTTCCCATATCCCGGGTCCTAGACAGACGGTGGAGGACTGTTTGGAAGGTTTCGTTGTATTTTTTAAGTACCCTTTTGCGGAGACGGGGATTGCGTTTCCAATCCCACCCTTGGTTCGTTCTTTCTTAGAGGTTTTGGGTATCAGTCTTGGACAACTGATGCCTTCTGATTGGAGGATTTTGTCTTTGATATCGGAGAAAACCAAGGATTGGGAGGACCCTTTTACTTTGTCAGACTTGGCTATAGGGTACGAGATAAAAATGGCAGAAAGTGGGTTTGTTAGCTTATGTAAGAAAGGGAGTACGTTGGTTCTGAACACAGACGTAAATGACAGTGGTTGGAAGAAGTGGTTTCTTTTTGTCAAGAGGGTATCTCTGGGCTTCAAAGGTTCGTGGTTTACGGAAGGGTGGCCGACAAAGGGTAAGCATTATTCTTAAGTGTTTGTTTTTTAAGCTAAAATTGGCTAAATTGTTTGATCTTGGTTTTATTCATGCAGAGTTGGATTTAGGATTTCTGGAATCGTCGGAGACATCTTCGTCAAACGTGAAGAAATTCCTCGCATTTAGTCCTTCAGCGAGAACCTATGTGAGGAAAAAGAAAATAGCTGGTGATCAGTCAGAGGAAAATCAAGGAACACCGACTAACACTTCTCAACAAGTCGAAGATTCTGAAGAAACGATGTCAACTCGTAAGTTTTGTACTGTCATTGCTTTGTTTTTACGTCGTTTGTCATTGTACCTTTTCTTATGCGTTCGTTTGCTTTGTTTTGCATTATGGAAGACTCAGCTGCTCAAGGCGTTCGTCGTGGACGAAGCTTGACTCAACAAGAAGCCGACTTACGAATAAGAAGGAAGCGAGGTTTGGCACTTCAAGAACAGCAGCCGCCGTCTGCGGCTGAGAAGGTGGAGCCTATCTCGACTCTGACGTCTCTGAGGACAGTCGATGAGACGGGAACTATTACACTGTCACCGTCTCCTCCGCGCAAGCAACAGAAGACTGACGATGAGCCCTCGGTTCCCGACATCTTGGGACGCTTCCCCGCCAACTTTCTAGATCTCCGAAAGGACGACCAACATTCTCTTTTCCCTACCCTGAACCAATTGTTGTTTCCTAAGTCTAGGGAGGTTTTGGCTGGGAAATCTGTGTTGGACATAGCCTCTGAAGCTGCTACGACTCATTTATATGTAAGTCTTTGTTTCGTTTAGTTTTATTTATCAAGGTTGATTTCTTGGTTTGTAATTTGGGATGTGTTTGGCCAGTGTTTGCAAAATTCTCTAGTGTTGAGGGATAGGGTAATCGGATTGGCGAGAGAGATGAAAAGGTTGGATGGTGCTGCCAAGAATAGTGAAGCTCAACGTAAGACTGCAGTTAACGTGTTTCAAATGACCAAGAAAGAGCTGGACGAGGCGACAAAGAAGGTGGACGATTTGGAAAGTCAGTTGAAAGCTCAATCGAAGACGATGCAGGAGGAAACCGAGAAGTTTAGGGATCAGCTGAAGGAGCAGGCCAAGCATTTGGAGGATAAGATTAGGGGTATCGCTGCTAAGGACAAGGCTCTGACGAAGGTTCAGGAAGAGTTGGCATCGACCAAAAAGGAATTGGAAGACATGTTGGACGACTACGCCGAGTTGGACATTAAGGTGAAGGCGAAGCTGATGATGCATTTTTTGGACGGGAAGGTTTCGGAATGGCATCCACAGGAGGTGATCGACTGTTTTCTAGCCAATGGTGGAACTCTTGACGAGTTGGAAGAGGATGATGCGGTGGCATCGACTGCGGATTCAGGTCCTGGTCCATCTGTCGCCGTTCCTTCATCTGTCGTTGCTGTCGATACCCAGCCTCTCATCGTCGGAGATCCGTCTGTAGATGTCGATACCCAGCCATTCATAGTCGGAGATCAATCTGTAGCTGTTGGGGATCAACCTCTTGTCGCCAACGATTAGCCTGCCGAAGGTGCTGAGGAGTTGCAGGTTGAAGGTGTTGACGACAATGCTCGTGCTGATGAGATTGTCAAAGAAGTCGTTGACGGGCTCTCTATCGACGGAACTAATGCTTGAAGGCCATCGTCTGTGATGGTTTAGACTTTTTCTTTGTATGCTTTCGACTAACTTTTGCTTTTGTTAGAAAACTATGTTTCTGTTGTCTTTGTACTTTGTTCCACTTGAGGGCAAGTGGTCTTTTAATTGTTTCTGTTTGTATGATATTGATTTTTCATGCTAAGTAATTCTTGCTTTTCGTCGTTGCTTGATATCGACTTGTATTCTGTAGATGTGAAGCAAAAACGTAACATAAAGTTTTGTGAAAAAATACGGCTTAGTAAAAATATTTTAAAAAAAGATGACATGTCAGGGGTATGCAAAAATTTTTTTAAAAATTCGACTTTTATTAATGTTTGAATAATGTATAAACAAGAAAATCATAAAAATGTTAAGCACCAAAATACTTCTATGACTATACAGTATACTCGTCGAAGGCTTTGTATTTTAGGCCTATCGTTGCGTTGTTTGCCAATGCCCCTTGCGTTCCAGCGTCGACGATGAACACTGAAGACTAGTTTGTTGTTCAAGTATCAGGTGTTTGGCCTCGGACGCTAAGTTCAGATTTGCCCTAGGCTTCGTATTGCTTCGATTATCGTTTGAACGACAGCTTTCCTCATCCCCTTTTAAAGGATGTCAGTGTAGCTGACGTTTGTCGTCGTTTGCCTTTTCTGTATGGCTAGATTGTGACCAAGTCTTCTTTGTTTTTTTGGCTACATGCTTTGTCAATCATTGTTCTGCAAAACCAACACGGTTAAAGTATCGTTGACCGTTGGCACGGCCAACGACCCTCCGATGCTTAAGTCAGTACACTTAGTCATAAAAGAAAACTTTGAATGAGTGAAATGAACTTGGAATTTTACTAGGACGTTACCTTTTCGTCGATGAGTGCTTTTGATGATTACTTAGAAGTAGTATTTTCTAAGATGAGTTGCTTTCCAACTTCTTGGAACGGGGTTACCTTTTGGGTCGGTCAGTTGATAAGCGCCATTTCCAATGACTTGGGTGATTTCATATGGACCTTCCCATGGTGGGGCAAGCTTTCCGTCGGTTGGATTCTTTGTGTTCTGGAACGTTTTCTTGAGTACCTAGTTACCTAGTTGGAATGTTTTGTCCTTGACATTTTTGTTGAAGCTCCTTGCAACGATCTGTTGTTTTGCTGCCATTCTGATTAACGCCGTCTCTCTTAATTCTTTGGTTGCATCTAGGTTGTCCTCTATTTCCTCTTGATTTCTTTCTTCCGCCATGAGATCGAATCTTGACATTGGGAAGTCGGCCTCTACTGGGAGAATGGCTTCATATCCATAGACAAGGGAGAAGGGTGTTTGCCCCGTTACTTCTCTCGGCGTCGTTCGGTTGGCCTATAGGACTGCTAGGAGCTCGTCGGCCCATTTGCCTTTAGTTGCTTTTAGCCTTTTCTTGATGGCTTCCATGACGACTTTGTTGCTGGACTCGGCCTGTCCATTATCTTGTGGATACCTTGGCGTTGACGTTCTCAGCTCTATGCGGAATTTCTGCAAAAAACAACGAGCTTTGTCGCTAATAAACTGTGATCCATTGTCATAGACGATCACTGACGGGATTCCAAACCTGCAAATAATGTTAGTCCATATGAACGAGATAACATCCTTGTCCGTCACCTATTTCAAAGCAATTTCCTCAATCCATTTAGAAAATAATCAGTTAGTGCTAGCATGTAAACTCTTTGCCCTGGTGCTGCGGGTAGCTTCCCGATGATATCCATTCCCCATCTCATGAAGGGCCACGGAGATAATGTGTGGTGGAGGGGCTCTGACGGTAATGGATGGTGTTGGCGAACCGTTGACAGCTGTCACATCTGGTCACATATTGTACTGCGTCTTCGTGAAGCGTCGGCCAGAAGTAACCTTGTCTTTTTGCGATTTTGGCTAGTCTTCTTCCTCCGACGTGACTACTGCATATTCCGTCGTGCAAGTGGCTAAGGATGGATTGTTGTTCATGTTTTTGGATGCATCTTTGGGGTAACCCTAACGCTGATTTGTGGAACAAGACTCCGTCGACGATGTGGTATCGGGAGGCTTTGTACTTTAGTTTTCGGGATTCTGCCTTGTCACTGGGGAGAATATCTTTGGTTAGGTAATCTATGATGGGTTTGGTCCAATCGTCGTCGTCATTGACGTCGTCGACGGGCAGGATTTCTTTGGTGGACACAGATGGTTTCTGCAAGTGGACTAAAGGAATGTTTGTGAAGATGGTCTTTTTTACGGCGGAGGCTAGGTTTGCTAATGCGTCGGCTTGGGTATTTTGGTATCTTGGGATTTGTGAGATAGTGAAAGGGTCAAAGTATTTAGCTTTTTCTTTGGCAACATCGAGGTACGCTGTTATTTTGGAATCTTTGGCTGCGAAGTCACCTGTCATTTGGCTAACGATGAGGAGGGAGTCACTGTATACGTCCAAGGCTATAGCACCTAAATCTTTAGCGACGATCATTCCTGCAATCAAAGCTTGTATTCTGCTTCATTCTTAGTTGCTTCAAAATCACAAGATATAGACCTTACGATCATGTTCCCTTGTAGCGACTTTAGCACCATTCCCAGGCCATCTCCTCGTTGATTGGACGAGCCATCAACGAACAAGATCCATTTGTTCTTTTCTGGATAATATTGATTTCTTCTACTTCTTTGTCGGCTATGGCCTTTAAATTGGGGCTGAAGTCAGCCACAAAATCTTCTAGGGCCTGGGACTTGATTGCCTTTCTGGGTTGGTACTCGATGTCCATCGTCCTCTCGGAAATGCTCCATTTGCCTAATCGTCCTGTTAAATCTAGCTTTCTCAAAACAGACTTAAGTGGGTAGTTATTCATCACCATGACGTGGTGGGTCTCAAAATTAAGCCTTATTTTCTTAACGGCTCTAATTAAAGCAAGAGATAACTTTTCTAGGGACGTGTATCTTACCTCGGGTGGGAGTAAGGTTTTACTTATGTAGTAAACCGGAAGCTTCCCAGCTTCGTCATCTTCTCTCATCAGAACTGCGTTGACGGCAATAAAACGCTGCAAAGGTTCGTTAGTCTTGGGTTTTGACAAGAGGGGTGGCGTCATTAGATATTTCTTTAAATCTTGCAAAGAATTTTCATGATCATCAGTCCATTCAAAACCTTAATTTTTTCTCAAAACATTATAGAAAAGATGACACTTATCTGACGATCAAGAAATAAAGCGATTTAACGCTGCCACTCGCCCTATCAATTTCTAGGTTTCTTTAACGTTTCGGGGGGACTGAATATTTATTAGAGCCCTAACCTGGTCGGGACTTGCTTCAATTCCCCTTTGCATTACTACATAGCCCAAAACATTTCCAGCAGATACTCTAAATGAACAGTTAGTAAGGTTAAGTTTCATACCATACTTTCGCAATACTTCAATGGTTTGACGGAGGTGATCGACGTGATCTTCTGACTTCTTGGATTTCACCAGCATATCATCGATGTATACCTCCATCGTGTCTCCTAGATGATCCTTGAACATCCTGTTGACTAGTCTCTGGTACGTCGAACCTGCACTTTTTAGTCCAAAAGGCATAACTTTATAGCAATAAATACCTTTGTCAGTCATGAAGGTCGTCTTCTCCTGATCGTCGGGGTGCATTAAGATCTGGTTGTATCCGAAGTAGGCGTCCATGAATTTTAAGAGCTCATGACCTGCTGTTGCATCCACCAGGGCGTTGATGTGCGGCAACGGAAACGGATCTTTAGGGCACGCTTTGTTGAGATCGGTGAAGTCGATGCATACTTTCAACTTGCCGTTCTTTTTGCTGACTACGACGACATTAGCGAGCCAATCTATATACTTGACTTCTCTTATTTTCCCGGTGTTGTTCCGGAGAAAACTTTCAACGCTTCTTCTTGACAGGCTTGTGATTTAGGTCGACGTTCAGCTTGTGCGAGATGATGTTCGGATCTATGCCAGTCATATCTTCATGAGACTAGGCAAAACAGTCTTTATTCTATCGAAGAAAGGTTAGGATAGTGTCTTTGAGTTCAGGTTCTTGGTTAGCTCCGACACGGACGGTCTGATCGGGTTTTTCAGGGTCTAAAGGTATTTTGTCAATTTCGAGGTCGTTGGGATTGTCTGGTGTCGGGCCATGCTGTAAATGCTATGCGGTTCTCATGGTTGGCTTTAAGGTTGTTTTTAGCAGTGTTTAGCTTCGTGGGGTTCTCCTTTAATTTGTTGGTTCCCCCACGGGGTTGGGAATTTGATTGACTGGTGGTAGGTGGAAGGGATAGCTTTTAGTCGGTGGATCCATGGTCTGCCTACTATGATATTGTAGGCTGAAGGGCAATCGATGATGTTGAATTTGGTTTGAGGGTTTAGGCCTCCTACAAAGGTTGGAAGGGTTATGTCTCCGAGAGTTGACATACTTTCACCACTGAAACCGACCAGAGTTGTTGACCTTCTGGTGATGTCGCTATCTTTCAGCCCCATATCTTCCATAGTTTTTCTGAATAGGACATTTGCGGAGCTTCCTCCGTCGACTAGCACCCTTCGAAGCAGACAATTCCCGACAACAAAGGAAATTACCAAAGAATCTTCATGCTCTTTGTTGATGTTATTGATGTCGTCATCGACGAAGGTAATTTCCATTGCCTCTAACTTCTTTTCCAAAGGATCTCTGATCTCTTCCAGGACATCTGCATTATCAATTGTCGACTTTGCGATCCTCTTTGCTGCAGAATAGGTTAGTCCACAAATATCGGAACCACTAGTGATAACATTCACTATTACCTTAGGTACGGGTGGCTTTGGAGGCCCGCTTGTCGTTGTTTCTGGTTGAGGACGACCGGCGTCGTTGCTTTTATTCTTTCCTAACAGGTGCTTGAGGTTGCCTCTCTTCAACTGGAAGGCGACTTCTCTTCATAGGGCGTAGCTATCTTCTGTCTTGTGGCCATGGTCTCTATGGAACTCGCACCACTTGCTTATATCTTTCTCCGACTCTGGCTTGTTACTCTTCATCGGCCAGCGCACTTTGTTTCCCAAGGGCTCCAATTCTTTTACCACGGCCACAATGTTTACGTCAAACCCATACTCTGATATCTCGGGGTATTGCGGGGCGTCGAGGATCTGTTCTACCTGCACAACATTAACAGAGCGTGATCTACCTGATGCCTCATAGGGCTGGTGTCGCCACGATCCCCTCTGATTGCTTGGGGCTTTGCGGTCG